ATCATCCTTGTGGCCCTCCCTCCCTCGTCCCCTTGCTGCTCCTCTACGCAGCTCCCGTTTGGGGTTCAACGCGCGTCTTGGCCACGACACCGGCACCGACGCTGCCTGCTCCGCTCCACTCCTTTCCAAACGTCCCCTTGCGCTTTTCCAAACGTCCCCTTGTGCTTTTCCACCACCTCCCTGTGCTTTCTGCTGCTTTCTTCTGCTGCTTCCCGGAGGGAATCCTTATCCAAGGCAGGGCTAGCTCCTCCCTGCAGCTTTCCTGACTGCAGCCCTTCGGAGCGCCAGTCCCGCTCTGCTCTGCACGGACCTCGACACCCGTCACGAGGGCTGGCGAGAGGGGACCACGTCCCAGGTCCCCAGGGTGGCTGGTGGGAGCAGGGACCACATCCCAGGGCCCCAGGGTGACTGGTGGGAGCATCCGGGGTGGCTGGTGGGAGCAGGGACCACATCCCAGGGCCCCAGGGTGGCCGGTGGGAGCATCCGGAGTGGGAGCAGGGACCAGGTCCCAGGTCCCCAGGGTGGCCGGTGGGAGCATCCGGAGCGGGAGCAGGGACCACATCCCAGGTCCCCAGCACAGCCAGTGGGAACAGGGATCACATCCCAGGTTCCCAGCGTGGCCGGTGGGAGCATCCGGAGCGGGAGCAGGGACCACGTCCCAGGTCCCCAGGGTCCCCAGTGGGAGCAGGGACCACATCTCAGGCCCCTAGGGTGGCTAATGGGAGCAGGGACCACATCCCAGGTCCCTAGGGTGGCCGGTAGGAGCAGGGACCACATCCCAGGTCCCCAGGGTGGCCGGTAGGAGCAGGGACCACATCCCAGTGCCCCAGGGTGGCCGGTGGGAGCATCCGGCGCGGGCGCAGGGACCACATCCCGGGTCCCCAGCACAGCCAGTGGGAACAGGGATCACATCCCAGGTTCCCAGCGTGGCCGGTGGGAGCAGGGACCACATCCCAGGTCCCCAGCACAGCCAGTGGGAACAGGGATCACATCCCAGGTTCCCAGCGTGGCCGGTGGGAGCATCCGGAGCGGGAGCAGGGACCACGTCCCAGGTCCCCAGGGTCCCCAGTGGGAGCAGGGACCACATCTCAGGCCCCTAGGGTGGCTGGTGGGAGCAGGGACCACATCCCAGGTCCCCAGCACAGCCAGTGGGAACAGGGATCACGTCCCAGGTTCCCAGCGTGGCTGGTGGGAGCATCCGGAGTGGGAGCAGGGACCACGTCCCAGGTCCCCAGGGTCCCCAGTGGGAGCAGGGACCACATCCCAGGTCCCCAGCACAGCCAGTGGGAACAGGGATCACATCCCAGGTTCCCAGCGTGGCCGG